CTTCAAGCGGTGCTTTGGGATCCAAAACCTGCCAAAACCAGCAAACCCCAGCAACCAAGCCTGTGTGTTGACTAGAAAGGAGCGCATTGGTGGCTCGCAGAAGGTTTGTGATTGTTGTTGAAAGGGGGAGGGTTGTTTGGCAGCGTTGTGGATGGTGTCAAAGGCTGCAACTTGCTGCGCCTTATGGTGATCGGCTGGAACGAAGCTTTTGTGAAGCGCAAGGGCAATTGAAAAGTGTCTGCCAAGAGCATTGCAGGTGTGTGCACCGGCAACGGTAAAAGCTGTTGTAGCCAATCAGTCTGCTCGAAAGAAGACATGCTCAGCTGGAGCAACACGTCGGTGCGAAACTTGTCTTGGGCAGTTTCGCGTTGCTGGGCAAGGATTTCGGGCTTGTTTTTGCACCCGCCGTCAGAGCTCCAAACAGCTCTTGCGCGGACGCGTTTTTTACTTCTCGCAAAGCGCGTGTGAAAAGAGAACGCGGGCTGTTTTCCGGCCCGTGCGTCTGCACTTGCACTGAAGGAGGGTTTTTTTGGCGTGGGTTTGGAGACTGCTTGGAAGCCAGCGAGAGGCGGAGAGCTCAAGTGTGTGCAAGGTGCCACGCCAACTTGGAAGTTTAAGCGTTGCCGGGCTCTTTGGCACGGGCCTTCGTGGACGATTACCCCCCGCCCACCCTTCCGAGTGCAGAAAGCACAAACAACCCGCATCCGACCGTGCTGCCTCCTGCCTTCCCTCCCTCCCTCCAGCATTCCCTCCCGCCCTTCGCTTCCTTGCTGCTTCCGTTCTTTTAATTAATTCTTGTTGATGCCTAATGACTTTTTGTTGGAAACATATTCCCACACCTAACTGGTGCTCGCTTGGCCAGCGCTCGCCAACTGAACCTGCAAACAGGCCATGTTCGTCTCCTCCTCCTTCCGGTTTGTTGCCTCAGCAAGTGTTCGAGGTGCTTGGGTGCGAAATGGGGCGTCACTGGTGCCATCTTCAAGAAAAAGAAGGAAGGAGGACAAACCATCCGCAACCCACCTACTGCCATTCGCAAGCTCAACATGATTTAAGGGGTTGAGGGGCTTAGGGGTTTAGGGTTTAAGGGCGCAAACAGTGACCAAAGAGATATCCACGGCAACATGCAGCAGCGCTGTGAACAACTACCGCGATATACTATCACCGTCGATCGCAACAATCACCTGGAAGCTGTTGAAAGTCAAATCAACCTTAGCCTCCCTACAACGCTTGTCAATGCAACTGTGATCCATCTGATCAGCTCATTTGGCCACATAGGCCCTTTGAATCCCTGCCCCACTCTGACTCTTCGACAAAATTCCCGAAGTGCAATGCATCAAGAGCAGTTACAACCAAGTTAAACGCCCCATGTATGTGCATATCAGCAATCAACAATGCTCCATGTCCTTTGCTGCTCCATTCGGCAGACACACATTTTGTAATTATGCCTTGTGTATCTGCAGCCTTCGTGTTCCACATTTGAGAGCAAACTTGAAGAATGGTGTCGAAATCAACCTTTCAAGTCTCCAAGCACAATCCTCAAGAACACTCTTAATATAGATCAGAATCAATGCCACACTCTCAAACAGGTCCGTAACTGTCCTTGCAAACAATTAACATACAAGTTCACCCCCCCCCATTTGAGCATACGACAGGGCAACGAAACAATGCCAACCAGCAACTTCCACTTGTCTCGCTGATAGATTCCACGCAGCTACTGGGCATGGCAAACCACTGCCCTGAAACACACTGAAGCCCGTGAAGCAAGGATTGACTGATTCAAGGTGGAATCACCCGTTTACATGCCATAGGGCTTGCGCTCGTGCATAACATGCCACACATTGTGCTCGACCATTATGGCTGACTTGTCATCCCCTAATCCTACTTCGCAGTGGACACCACAAGGGAAACCCCGAAACCCATCTGGGACAAGGATCTTGCGGATTGACTTTGAAGACTCCAACCAGAGGTTGACGACTCCTGGGTTGCCATGTCGAGGTGTGGGGCACTCTTGGGCTCTTTTCGGCTAGGACATCGGACGTCCTGCAAGTTCTGCAGGCAGAGCTGCCTCGCGGAACTGTGGCTCATTGCCCCACATGAAACACTCCCAAGACCTGTCACGTCTGGAAGGGGACAACTGACCCAAGATCTATCTTCGATTCAAACCTCATACGTTCAACACAATCCTACCCGAAAACACCAATGGACTGTGACAAGGGGACAAGCCGGCACCTGACTAGTGCCAACCAGGCACTAGGGTGTGATACCTGGGATTCTGTAAATGTGCAGTCTCGTGTGTGTGTGTGTGTGTGTGCTTGGATTTGCAGCCCACAACGTCTAATATTTGTTCCTAATATCCCCACAATCAGAACCCATTTTATTTGCAGCACCCTTCAAGAGATAGACATCGCCCGGCAAAACGCCTCGTCCGCATTGAAATTTGACTCGGCCGCCCTCAGATCCCCCACTAAAGTTTATTTGTTTGTGGGTTAAATGGAAACTACCCCTAAACACTAAAACGCTAAAGGCTAAGGGGATGGCTGGGAGCCACCAAGTTGAGACTTTCCATCCGATATCTCGACGTTTCGCCTCCGCAAGTCTACCAGGCGCTGGTATTCGGGCAGGTCCATGAAGCCGTAGTGCGCCGCCTCCGGGGGACCCAGGGCATTGGCTGGTGAGATTTCGCGCAAGCGTCAACGGGGGTCCAGCACTGAATCCTTCATCTGAGGACGTGGTCAACAGAGTCAACACTCGTAACCTTGTGCTTTTTGCATGTGACTTTGGACGTGCAACATATGGCGCTGCTACTGTTGTTGATCAAACTTGGGCAGCCGTTCATCGAACTCATTTGTTTCTTGCATCAGAACGGATCAAGCAATTTCTGGAGCTTGAGAGCCTGAGAGCCGAGTTCGCGAGCACCTTCCAGGGGAGCTTAGATCACGATGCATGTCATGTGCGAGCCAGCGGTGTGCAGTTCTTGGATGCTTGCAATTCGAATCCGGAGGCTTGCAAAGTCGCATTCAGGTCCTTGAGCCCAGCATTCCCAAATGACACACATGCTGCCAGGCGTGGACAAGCCTTGCGCCGAGGTCTAGCAGTCCATGAGTTCAGCTCATTTTGGCTCTATGGGACGGGGATTCTTTGGTACCGCTGCGCAAACGAGGGTGCGAACAGAACCCGTGCCTTGGAAGCAGGGCCCCCAAAAAGGAGCTCGGAGCCTAAAAGGCCCAAGGCCAAATCCCCTATATAGTGGTCATGGAAAAAAATGCTCGGACATGTTTTTGGTGGCTGTCTTTCAAGGGAAACCCTAAACACCCTTGCTTGGGTCCATCAACATCGTCCAACTCATCCGCTAAACAGTTGTTCCCTTGTTTGGGTTGCTTTGACTCACTGGCTGAGTGGATGGCCCCAAAAAAGTCCAATTCACCACTAAAATGGTCTTGCCAAAAAGATTGAAGTTCATGAACTCAGGAAGTGAGCTGAAGGAACACCAAAAAAAAACGCCCTTGGCGAAACGCCCGCCGCCCGCCGCTCGCCGGCGCCTGGGCGCAGGCCTTGCGCACAGCGCTGCGGCTGCAGCTCGCGGCAGCGCGCTGCAGCGCGGAGCCTGGCACAAAGGCGTCGAGGTGTCAAATGGCTGTGGCTCAAAAATCGGGATACCCAAAATGGCACCCAAAAATAGGAATACCCAAGAATGGTAATTAACTACCCCAAATGGGTTGGTTTGGTAAGTGGAACCAATTGGACTTTTGACCTGCGGTCCAATTCCTGGTGCTTGAATTTTGACCGTGGCTCAAATAGATGTACCAAAATGTCCCCCTTGGGAAATGGAACCAAAGACTAAAACCTGCGTAAGCTCTTGATTTTTGAGCCACACCCAAATGGCTGTTGTCAAAACCGTTTTGGGATCCCATTTTCAGGTAGGTGAATTCACCACCCATTTTAGAACCTATTTTAGTGGAGATTGGGATGTTCACTGGGGGTACGGGGACCAAAATGGAACCCTGGTAAGTGAAAACATGGACCAAAACCTGCGGTCCCCTGGTAGTTTAACTTTCACCCATACCCAAATGGGTTGGTCTAAAAGGATCTGAAAAAACACTCAAAATGGCAAGAGCTTCAAGTTGGCATCCCTTCAAACCAAGGGTACCCTCCAAAATGAAGGCACGCCCAAATTTAATGAGGGCGTTGCCATGAGCGCAATGTTTGCCATCCCAAATGTGAATATTGGGAATGGAAATTGCGGCGTATATGAATGTACTACTTATCTTGAACAGGTCTTTGCTGCGCCTTGCATTGGTGGTATCTCTCCATGTCTGTCCAGACAACCTGAATGATAATGCCCTTGAAACTTCCCTCATTTGTGGGGGAAGTGAGATCCAGAAGAAAGGGGTCACAATTTTCCCGCTGAAGAGCATCATAAAGGGGACTGGAAAAGGCGGCCCTCGTCTTGAACAACTACCTTTGTTTTTGCCATTCCTTGAACCCAACACCAAAAGTGTACCTGGAGGTGAGGGAGTGTTGAATCAAGAACTACAGGGCATCAAACAAGCCACAAATCCAAGCCGCCCTTTCACGGGTGACCTGATTCCGAGGACTGTTAAATTTGGGAAACGGATACGAAACATGGTGCATAGGAACAGCACCCAGGGCCATTTTAGACGTGACCAGGTCACATCTGAAAGCCTGGGCTCAAATCACCTATGACATGCACGGGCTGCAGGGGCTCCCGCTTTGTGATGGCTTACATGCTCAATCTACGGCCAATTCCAGGGTACACCCACCTTTTTGCATGTCTGCACGTGTCCGTCATCGACCATGAGGGCCTAAATAACTACGGCGGGGCTGTGAGGGAGTCTAAGGCCACGAAGTCGTGTCCCTTGGATCAAACACCTGCCAACCAACCTACCAACCCACCAGCCGATCAAGCAACCAATAAACCTGCCAGCCAATTAGTCAACCAACCTACGAGACAGTTCCAACCTACCAACCAACCAAGCTACGGTAGATGCCCATATGCACCACAAATTGCTTACGAGAAGTGAGCAAGGCTCGGTCTTTTGCACGTGGGGCTCAAATCAGAGGTGTCTGCACAATACTGGCTGACGGCACAAACCTGTGGATCCTGAACTTCCTGACAATCAAAGTGTTGGCCTGCGTCCGGGCTGTGCGCCCCCGACCCAGCCTGCATGGAAGAGGCAAATAGGCTAAGCCCATTGGCCGGCAATCGTGCCAAGCGCAACATTGTTGCACACATGGCACAGCCTGTTAGAGTCGCCACCCAGGCTTTTGCAAACACTGTATTTGCCAAAAACTGAGCGACCACACAAAAACCTGTCAAGATTCTTGTCCATCACGTGACAGATAGCACTGCTGTCATGTAGCATGAAACTGTACCTGCCAGACTCTACAATGAGGCTCAAGCTATGTGTGGCGTCAGTCACAACAAGCTGGTCATCCTCGGAATCGCTACTCTGACATTCCTGGCTACTGCTGCTATCACTTTCGCTGTCGGGCAGCGGATCTTGAGAAGGAGCGCCCGCAGAGCCCGAAGCTGGCGTCGATGGGGCAGCTGTGGCTAAAGTTGATGTCCAGCGGCCGCTGCGTGTGTCATCCGGGCAAAAATTGCCTGCCCTTACAAGGCCAAGAACCCTTTCAAGTTCACGCAAAGGCCCACTTAACGCGTCACGGCTGTAATTCAAGCTAGACATGTTCAAGCCCAAACTGTGGTAGCCCAACAATGTTTGGGCGTCCTGGGCCACTCCTGCCTTGGCAGTCCAACTGAGAAGTGTCACTTTCAGGCAGTGGGAGGTGAGGCCAAGGATGGACTCGTGGTCTGCCTGAGGGTCCCTGCTTAGAGTTGCCCTGAGCCACCTTGCGGCCTCGCAGCTGCTAAGTGCGGCTGGGAGCAAAGAACCGTCCGCAGCTAAGGCTGGCAGAAGGTGGTCCTGCCCAAGCTTGCCCTTGCATGTGAGGTGGAAAACCTGACGTGCTCTAAGCCAACTGCGTGCCCAACCCGGCCCGTGCAAACCCTGGACCGGCGCAACTAGAGGAAGCAGCTTGTTTCCCCGAGCTGCCGCCCTGGCCTGCTTTGGGTTTAACACCTTGGTCTCAACAAAGCCAGACTGGGCGTCACTGGCCCAGTCAAAGTCGATCTCCACACTTCTGTTCAGGTCACTATTCCTTGCCCTGGCAAACAACGCAAAGCAAAGCCCTCCTGCAATGAGGCTTTCGTAGGAAGGTGGGTCCGCCTGAGCGCACCTTTCCAGCCAAGACACTTGCGCCACGGTGAGCGGCGGAGCCTGCCTTGGCGGCCTGCGTTCCTTCAACTGGACATGCGCCAGGCCCGTCACCCGTGGAGAGCGAAGGATTTGAAGGTGCACTGACAGGCCCAATGTCCCCCAGCAAAAACCGAGGGCCTGCAGAAGGCTGTCCGCCGTGGACGGGCTCGCCTTGTCAGCCTGAATCTCCTGAAGGTAAAGGAAAAGCAAGGGTTCGCTGAGCCCCTGACTGGGGAACCTGCGGTGGCTCCAAAGCACGAAGCGTTTCAGGCTGGCGGCCCGATTCAACAAGGTGTTGGTGCTTTTTTTGCAAAAAACAAACACATCATTGTCAAGGATTTGACCTGAGATATCCCCGACCGACACCGGCAACGGGCTGGGGGCTGGCACCTGAGTTTTCTGATCTGCAGGCACGGAGCCCCCTGTTTCCTGTCACGACTCGCAAGAAGCTGCCGAGTGCTTGCCCCCGCAGCGCATGCACAAGTGCGCCCCCCTGGAGCATGTGGCGTTTCCGTTGATGTCTGTACATTCCAAAGTGCATCCATGCGCCAAGTTGAAATTGAAACACAGCCTGACGCCATTCCTCATGCCTGACAGACCCTTGAGTTCGCTTGGCACATTGTTGTTGCCTTTGCCAGCGCCGATACCTTTGTCCTGTTTGCCCTTGCCACGGCCCTTACCTTTTTTGCCACCCTTGTCCTGCCTGTTGCCTCTGCTGGCTCCATTAAAGGCCTGGTCCCAAGGGCGCTTCAAAGAGGGGGGTGGTTTCGGCAGTGGCAAAAGGTGGAAGGTCACACTGGCATCCTGGCAGAAATCCTGAAGCGCCTGGTCCACAAGTTTGGAGCCCCCGGACTGCGCAAACTCATGAGTAACTTTCTCAGCAACAAGCCTCCAGATTTCCCGGTCACTCCTGAGAAACTGTTCCATGGCCGGCGCTGTGTAGCCGGCAGGCGGGTGTCTGTGCAAGTGATCAAAGAGCACCCGCATGCATTTTTCATGGGTGTCGTACCCGCAGATTCCTGAGACCTCCAATGCCAGCCCACGTCGGCACACAGCCTGGTACAACCTGAGGTCGGTGGACAAGTCCACACGAACTGCCTGCGGCTTGCTGTGCACTTTCAGGACACTGTTCTCCAGGCGAAGGAGCTGATCGTCCCTCCTGGTGCTACCTATTTCTGCCTCGCGGCTGCTGCACTGGCTTGGCGGGATGTACCTGATGGCCCTGTCGCGCAACATTTGGCTGCAAAGATCGATCAAGTGGTGACTTGGCTCAAACTGACCGCCAATGGGCCAAGACCCCAACTTCTTCTTTACTGCCTGGATTCTGCTGGTCCTTTCTTCTGGGCTCAAGCGCTTGGGCGCATCGTCGGCGCTCTCCAATGAGCCCTTCAGCTCAGCAACGACAAACGTTCCTGCTTCGAAGAGCAACCTGGAGATTATCCCCTCAGTGGGCTCACCCTGGAACTCCTGAGGGAAAGCCTGGAAGAGGGTTTTACGCTTGGCTTCGTCAACCTGCCCAGGGGCGCTTGCCACACTGAGAAGCAATTGCCCGTAGGTTGCAATTCCTTTGGTTTGCAACGCTTTGAGTACTGCGTCACTCAAACCATAGCTGCCTGCTTTTGCCTGAAAGGTCGCTTCACTGTCAGCAAGTGAAGACATGGCGCTGATGCGCTGGCCGGTGGCCTTGATAGCCTGTGGGTCGTGTGCCAAGATTTACCTGGATGGCCAGGCCCCAATTGATGATGGCCAGCCTTGGCGCAGGCACTGGCCCCGCACTGACAGGTTCATGCCTGGGCACCCTGCCACAAAGGACAAAGGCTCTGACACCTGGCCGGACACAAGTCCATGCCAATAAAAGGGAGCGCTGCAGGCCTAACCGTTGTCCCACAAGGGTGTAAAGCCTGGTGGCACAAGCCATGCTGACCAATGAAGACACGGGCACAAGCCTGCTTGAGACTACCAGCTGAATATTTAAGGTTTACCGCCAAGACCACAAGGTCCAAGGCCAAGACCACAAGGTCCGGGGCCACTGACAGCCTGGGCACAAGCCCGATCTGAAGCACACAAGTGTTGGCTCTGAGGTCTGCTCCCAAGAGGGCGCTGCCCGTGCTGCCCCTACTTGTCGAGAAAAAGGAGCCAAGAACTGCCGCATGGCACGGATGGTAGCGGGCAAGAGCGCTCATTCCTGCACACAAGTAAGGAACATACAGCACGGCAGCACGGCTTGTTTCGCCTGCCGACACATCTTGAAAGAAGGCCGTCGCCCTTGATTGAGGGTGAGAAAAAAAAAGGACGAACCGCGTTCTAATTCTGCCCGGGGGGCAGGGCTGCCTGAAAAGGAAAACAGGGGCCGCCAACGCGCACACAGCGAGTAGACACAAGTGTTATTGATGCAAATGGCAAAGATTTGCGAGACCCCTGAGCTCCTCAATGTAAATACTGCAGTGTCGGAGCTCCTTGAGGCTATGGCAAAGCAACGGTATTCATGCTCTTTAATTCAACTGGTAAAAAATTGCTAGACCCCTGAGCTCCTCAATGTAAATGCTGCAGTGTTGGAGCACCCTGAGGCTATGGCAAACCAATGGTGTGTTCATGCGTGTTGATACTGGCGTTGATACGGTGAGCCAAAACACTCTAGGCACTCATGGTTGGAATGCTCTGCGTTGGCAGCCGTGCACACACTTCGGCTGCACGATCTGCCGCACCTAAAATGGTTTTTACAAGGCTCCAAGCAATAGCCATCAACCTGGAACCCTGGCTTGTACCTTAATGATTTGGGCAAGGCCGGGTGCCTCTTGGCACACGAGAAAAATCGCTGCCTCCTTTGAACCGGCCGGAAGCTGTCCCTGGTGTCCTACAAGGTTCACTGGCGCAAAAAAGCGACCTTTAAACTGGCAAACAAGAGATCCTGACGTGCCCGGGGGGCACATTCCTGAATCCAGGACCAGCCTGCAAAACTCCTGGTTAGCACCAAGCGGCGGAAGTGGACCCCCTGCCTCGGGTGTTTGGAAGTAGAACCTGCTTGGCTCTTGCGCGCGGGAAGAAGCGTCCTGAAGGCTGCCTGAAGCGCCAACGGGTGGCACAGCTGGTGTCCCAAGACCGGCACCGCCGGAGCTGGGCCCTGGAGTCGTGTCTGCAGTGTCACTCCTGGGCGAAGCTGAAGCTTTGGCCTTGCTGCCCTTAGCTGCTCGCATCTGACCGCCGCCTGCTTTGGTTCGTGCCGGCGTGGCCTTTGACTTCTTCGAAGCTGCAGCAGCGGGCCGCGGCTGCCGCTCAGCACCTGTGTCGGTTGCTGGCTGCGACTCCTGCGGTTCCTGGGAGACGACGTCCGCCCAGCGAGGTCGGCTCAATGCCCCTTGTGTGTCCAAAGCGCCGCCCTGCACAGACTCATCGACGGCCTGTGAGACCTGAGTTTCCTGATCAATCTGGGCCAAAGTGAATGTCTGCGTGCCCACTGAGTTCCCTGGAGCCATCAAGGCATTCATGGTGTACCCGATGGCTTGTCGATCCTGATGGATTTGGCGTGTTGCCAAGATGATCCTGAGGCGAGCCTGGTCGCGGTCACTGGCACCAGACAACAACTGAAAGAGCTGCCGGTCCTCCAGCTGCAGAATCTGTCGCAAAGCATCCTGAGCCTCCAATTCGGGCCAGTCAAACCATGGCATCTTACCTCATGACTGCGAAAAACCTCAAAATTTTGGCAACTGAGCCAAAATGGCACGCAATGTTTAGATGCATATATGCTGTTGCAAGCAAACGCACCTTAATGTTGCAAGTAAACCAACCACAAACCATGGGAATTTGCCGGGTTTCCTTGGTTTCCCACTTGCAATACTTAGGGCATCCACCGTACCAACAAAAGGACACGGGGCCCTTGGCGCACTGGGCAGCCCCGCGCACCAACTTCTTCAAGCTCGCCTGCCAGGGCTGGAAACTCCGACTCACCAACTGGAAAGGGATCCTCCCAAGTAAAATCGTCATGTGGCTGTGGGTCAAAGATGGGTACCGAAAATGGCACCTGGTTTAATTTTGACCCATAGCCATGTGTCCAGAGACCCGACACTGCAAAACCTGCATGCGGGTCTTCACCGAAACAGTCCTGACAGGTGCCCAGTCGACCTATCAAACAAAAAAACACACCCACGAGTCGCAAGGCAGGAACCCAAAAAGCGGATCTAGACCTCATGCACGGAGCGTGCCATGTCCCCTGCCTTCAACGGGCCCCGAACCTCTTGCCCAAGGGCTTGCTCACGTGGTTGAAGGGTTTGCGGTGAATCTCGAGGGCCCACATACCCTGCCGCAGACCCAAAAACCTGAGCCAAAACAAACACCTCCCGTTACCCAACATATTATGTTGTGGGCCATTTCACTTGGCTTGTTGTTGACAGGCGGCTAATTGGAAGGCATCACAATGGCTGGGATCCCTTGTAAGCCACACAAAGGCTGACGACAGAAAGCTCCCGTCATCTATCTCAGACTCGGCCTATGCAACCGGTCACTGGGATTGTTCAGTTCTTTCAGGGGATGCCGATAGTTTCCTTCGGTGTCTTCAGCCTTCGACACCTTGCCGCGTCTCATTGCCATGATTGGAATGTTTGGATTGCATATTCAAGTAAACGTAATCAAGGGAACCCTCCGACTGACTTGTCAGCTTTCGGTTTCTCCTACAAGCCAGTGAAAGCGAGCTGCCTCTGGACAAGCTTGCTTTCAAAATTCATAAAACGTCCACGAACAGGACGCAAAAGGCTGCCAATGTCGAAGCTGAGATGTCCGACAAAAGCCCGAAACAGGATACGCAGGAACATCGTGGCATTGGTGTAGCTTAAATCATCGGTCATAAACTTGCAATATGTCTTGGCCCGGCCTCTGCCTCAGCATATTCCGGCCGCGCAGCTAGCGTGGTGCCTGAGAGATGCCGTCTTTGGGTAGCTCAATTTCTGAGTTCTCGTCGGAATACCCGGAGAAAATAACGGGCCACACCAACTGTCAACTTTCAAGGTGGCAGGCAAACGAACTGGTGGCACGCGGACAAGCGCTTAACATGAAATGTGTTGCTAGGTGTGTGCACACTCGACATGTTAATCTTCCATCGCATAAGATGAACAACTGCCTTCAACCTTGAAAGAGCAAAGCAGCATTGTCCATGTGCTTGAGGCTCCCTTGCCTTTGAGCCAGAATAGGTTTTGTGATTCGCAAAGGAATGTGCAGAAGAGCAATTTGCAGTGTTCATTAAATCTGATTTGTGCATTGCATGACTGCATGATTGCGGGCACCTGAGTTCATTCAGCTTCCACAGTTCTGTATATTTCGTCCGGAACACCCCACAAATTGGAAACCGGGATTGTGAATGTCCGAAACCTCTGAGCCTCTCTAAAGAAAATGTTTTTGCCAATGGCACCACCCCCTTTTGGTAGTCTTGTGGGCAAGTGAGGAAGTGCGGGGAAAACAAAAACTCGAAAAAGGGCAACGGTGCCTTCCTCCCCGCACTACAAACACCCATCTGGACCTTGGGAAATCCAGCCCAAGCAGCCCGCTGCTCGCTTCCAAGGACCGCATCAACTGGAAAAGAACTAGCATAATGTAAAATCAAACTAGAGGGAACCCTCAAACATGGTTTTGCGTTGAGCTTTGAAGGACGCCTTCCCAAACAACCCAGTGACAAACAATCCACAAGGTTATGTATCTTTAATTTGCCATTGCATGTAACACAGTTCGCTGTATATGGTGCAAACTGCTGAGTTATTCTACTTGTCCGCCGCTGCCCACCCCTATGACCCCCGCCTGTGGTCTTGTCCTTCCCCGCCTGGTGACCCAATCCGCTCCAATGCGAGAACTTACCCTCCCACCGACTACATTTACCCCCCAGCAGAGCCCTGCCATGGGTCCAATGCCCGTACTCCCAGTGAACATCCCAGTCCCCAATCAAAAAGACTAGAATGGGTGGTGCACCTTCCCCAAAATGGTATGATTGGTTTTGACCCGCAGCCATATGTCAAACCACGGACCCTTGTTCGAGCATCAGTTGTGTATCCATGCACAAATAGCGTGGAATTTCTGGGGGCGCTTCAAGCATCTGCATCGCCAGCACCGTTGACCTCGACGTTTTACTGTCCTCGCAAACAACGGATCTGTTGCCTTGGCCCGATCTCCAGCTAAATTAAAATTATGCAGCTGACAAAGTTGCTGCGAATAAGATCTGCAGCTTAGACTAGTGTCTGGGTTGTGCTTTGTTCAGTCTTTCTCCAGAGATGACTCCAACCCTGAAAGAGCAGGTGAGGAGAATGGGCCCAAAGGATGCTCAATCCTGAAACCCTAGGAGGTATGGACGGTATGGTCAAAAGCCTGAGATCAGAGAGCTATCACGAGCTATCCAAGATCACTTCTTCTCGCAGGGCGTTTGTCTGTGACTCTGACGGAAACATGGGCCCCTGCACTTCGGAGTCCTTGATGTTGGTAGCCCTGCAGCGAAACAAAACAATAACACATTGTTACAACTCAGGTCAGCACTGCCTCCCTTCAAAGCTAGCAGTAAATACACATGTACTGCAGTAAATGGCTGTGGGTCAAAACCAATGGTACCATTTTGGGGTAGGTGCACCACCCATTTTAATAAGTCTATCTTAGTGGGGATTGGGATGTTCACTGGGGGTACGATTTGGATTTTGACCCATGGCCAAATGCAAAAACGTACCGCAGTGCTTAACGGCCATGGACTTTGAAGGTGCCCAGCGGGCTCATGAAACGTATCTCTTCGTTGCCTTGGAAAGCTTGGTCGGCTCAGGTGATCCATTTGGGTGTGGGTCAAAAATAGGGTAACCCCAAAATGGAACCCTGGTAAATGGAAACAAAGACTAAAACCTGCGGTCCAATTCCTGGTGGTTTAATTTTGACTCATACCCATTTGTACCTCACTGAGCTCCTGTCAGTTCCGTGTGGTGAGTCAACATGAGATCCCACGTCCCCGACGCCAAAGCCATCTCTAAGACCAACCAAACCCAAACCCGGGAAGAGAGACCCTTTTGACCCGGTCGATAAAAGCCTGGCACTGGTTCATCGCTGTAATGACAAACGATGTTTGAAGCACGAAACCCCGTAGACTGCTTGGGCGTTGCAAACAATATGTTCAGCGATCGCAAATGCATCATCTCGCATCCGACAAACCAAACCATCTTAATTCTGGTAAACATCCGTTGAAATTGCTTCCACCATTGGAACTTCATTCTGAACAGCACATGCGAGGTTCTTCGATTGCGAACATACTGTTCAATGACCCGTAAGCATTGGAGGGTTCAAATGGTCTCAAGCGGCACCCAACGAACGACTTCGGGTCACCTGCAGGAGCCCATGCAGCGTCTCCAGGTCACCGCGGGTCGCTGCATCAGTCAGCTGCCTCACGACTTGCGGCCGAATTCTTCGTTTGGCAGTTGCCAGTGCACGGCTCGTTGTGTAAAATCAAGCAACACAAGAGTAGCTTGGGTGACTCTGCAAGCACCATGACGCTTGTTCAAGCCAGTCACGTCATTGAAGCAAGGTCTGGATTATGCAACATGCATGCTAGAGATCACACTATCTGCCCTGAATTGATGTTTAAAGCAGTTTGGCTCTGTATCTAATATGTCTCTTTCCTTGCACGCCCTGTTCATCTCGCAGTGACAGGACGAAGGACAGCTCAGCATCAGGTCAACATGTGAAATGATTCGCTCAGCCTTTTCGTGTGTAAGATCCATTCCACCCACAGCCACATTTCAGCGTCACATGGAAGGGAGCACGCCGTGCCACGGCCATTCACCTCGCATAAAAGCGAGTTAAAACAAATACACTCGGAAAACGCCGCGCCTGAGCCGCCAAACTGCCTTGGCTCATCCTAAGCGGCCATGAATCTGCATCCCACACAAAGCTCTGGCATTTCCAACTCTTGCCGAGTGGAAAGACCCAAAAACAAAACACATTTGACATAAAGCATTTCCAACTCTTGCCGAGTGGAAAGACAAAAAAAAAAACACGGACTCTGGGAGCCTCTATGAACAAAATGGAACCGTGGTAAATGGAACCAAGGACTAAAACCTGCGGTCCAATTCCTGGTGGTTTAATTTTGACCCATACCCAAATGTTGTTTTTGCTCACGGCGTCCTCAACGACCCCGTGGAGTTCTTTGTTTTTTGGACGTTCATCCCTGCGTTCATGCATCATGGTTCGGGGGGGGATGGGTGGGCGGGGGGGAGGGGGGGTGGGTGGGGGGGTATGATCAGCACCCGCTCAACTGCTGCAGACCAGCCTGCTCTTTTTTTACCGGATTACAAAATAACATGGTTCTGGGGGGGGGGTTGGGGGGGCGCATGATAAGCACACCCGCTCAACTGCTGCAGATGCGTCTTTCACCCCTGAGGCATTCACTGGCCCAACCTTTGGCTCCAGGACCATGGGTCATCATTTTGTTCTCGCTCTTTGTGTTGCGTACGTTCTGCTGCTGCGTGTCGCGTGTGCACCCTGCCCCATTGTTGACTCGTGGTTCCAGGCATTTTGGACGTGTGATCCGTTCTTGTTGGACGCTCACTTTGAAGTTTTCGCTGGTAGTTCGTCTGGTCCTTTCGCGCATTTTGCGGCATCTGTTGGTGCGATATCTGCTCGAAGCCCTTTGTCCTGGTGTCGGTTACCTGCTGCACTGCCGCGTCTTCGCGCTGCCTGGCTGACGCTCTCGCGCGCCCGCTCCCCGCTTACCCCGGCTTTGCGTGCTGCCTGTTTTGTTCTATCCCGACGTTTGTTGGTCATCAACTTCACTTCTGCACCATCCTCAAGCCAGTGTGGCGGGCTTGCCATGTCTGCCGACGAAGACGATATCTCGCCTGGCCATCTTAGATCCTTTGCCTTTAAAAAAAGGAGGCCGGCAGCCTCAAGAAACGCGCGTGTGTTGGCCAGCAGCGCGAAGTGCTGCTATTCTCAGGCGATTTGGCCCTTTCTTGTCAAAGCCATGGTAAAAATGGAACAAAATAAACAATGGTACGTGTCAACGATGCAACGAAATGTTCATAAAACGCAGGAATTTTGGTAAACGTGCTTGGTCGCCATGGTCAAAAGCAGCGTGGTCATTAGCAACGCCGTGACCTTGTTTTTGGCCCCGACCCGACGCGCAAATCTCAGGCCTCACCATCTGCTCCACGCGCTTCTCTTCCAGGACCTGCTGCAGCGTGTCCAGCGCCTCCTTGTAGAGCCTGGCAATCAGAACAGAAACAGAAACGTAGGCCTACAAAGCTGAGCTGGTTGGTTGCTAGGTTGGTTGGTGGGTTGGCTGGTGGGTTGGTAGGTTGATTGGTTGGTAGGTTGGTTGACTAATTGGCTGGCAGGTTTATTGGTTGATTGGTCAGCTGGTGGGTTGGTAGGATGGTTGGTAGGTTGAAACTGTTTGGTAAGTTGGTTGGCTAGTTGGCTGGTACGTAGGTTGATTGGTCGGCTGGCGGGTTGGTAGGTTGGTTGGTTCGTAGGTTGCAACTGTTTGGTGGGTTTGGTTGGCTAGGTGGTTGGTAGGCTGATTGGTCAGCTGGTGGGTTGTTAGGTTGGGGTTGGAACTGTTTGGTAGGTTGGTTGACTAATTGGCTGGTAGGTTTGTTGGTTGATTGGTCGGCTGGTGGGTTGGTAGGTTGGTTGGTAGGTTGAAACTGTTTGGTAGGTTGGTTGGCTAGTTGGCTGGTTGATTGGTCAGCTGGCGGGTTGGTAGGTTGGTTGGTTGGTAGGTTGTAACTGATTGGTAGGTTTGGTTGGCTAGGTTGCTAGTAGGTTTCTTGGTTGATTGGTCGGCTGGTGGGTTGGTTGATAGGTTGGTTGGTTGGGAGGTTGGAACTGTTTGGTAGGTTGGTTGGCCAGTTGGCTGGTAGGTTTATTGGTTGATTGGTCGGCTGGTGGGTTATTAGGGTGGTTGGTTGGTAGGTTGGAACTGTTTGGTAGGTTGGTTGACTAATGGGCTGGTAGGTTTATTGGTTGATTGGTCGGCGGGTGGGTTGGTAGGTTAGTTGGTTGGAACTGTTTGGTGGAGTGGCTGGCTGGTTGGTAGGTTGGTTGGTTGGCTGGTTGGTAGGTAGGTAGATTGGACACTTCTGGAAGGTTGGTTGGTAGGTTAGTTGCCTGGTTCGTGGGGTGGTTGGTAGGTTGACCTGGTTGGTAGGTTGGTTGGCTGGTTGGTTTGCTGCCTGGTTGGTAGGTTGGTTGGTTGCTTGGTAAGTTGGACATGTTTGTTACGTTGGTTGGTAGGTAGGTTGGTTGGCTTGTTGGTTGGCTGGTTGGCTGGTTGGTTGGTAGGTTGAAACAGCTTGCCTGGTTGGTTGCTAGCTTGGCTGGCTGGCTGGCTGGCTGGCTGGCTGGTTGGCTGGTTGGCTGGTTGGCTGGTTGGCTGGTTGGCTGGTTGGCTGGTTGGCTGGTTGGCTGGTTGGTTGGTTGGTTGGTTTGTAGGTTGGACATGTTTGGTAGGTTGGCTGGTTTGTTGGAAGGGTGGTTGGTACGTAGGATGGCTGGTAGGCTGGAACTGCTTGGTAGGTTGGTTGTCTGGTTGGCTGGTTGGTAGATTGGTTGCCTGATTGGTTGGTTGGTTGATTGTTAGGTTGGTTTTAGTTGGTAGGTTGGTTGCGGTTGGGTGGTTGGCTGGCTGGTTGCTTGGCTGGAAAGCGGAAACTCTTCAGAACAAACACCATGCTCAGCGCTTTTGCAACATGCAGTCCGTGTCCCCAAATGGACCCTGTCAAGCAGTGACTGGCCATATGGATCACCACGTTGAGAAGTTGTTTCTGACTGAGAGACTTCAACCCTCTCGAATCACCGACAAATACTTCATACAAGGCCCCTCGCCCAGTTTAGGCAGTTCCTTCAACAAGCGGGTCATTGCCAAGCAGCCAGAGTTCACTGAGTGAGACCTGCTCTGAGACTGCTCCAAATAGTTTGCTTAGCTTGTTGGGTCCTTTTGCTCTCCAAACTAATTGATTTTGGTGCCTGGACAAATGCACGGGCAGTTCCTGCACCTGACTTCACTTAACAACCCCACAAACACAAAGAACAAAACGGCCTGGCAAAAGAATTAAAACATAACTAAAGTAAAACTCACACACCGGAAAACATGTATTTGCCGAAGGGACCTTCATCAGCTCAGCTTTTCTCTCCCTCGACTCGGTGAGGCTCGGCATTTCTTAGGCTCCGGGCCGAGACGCGCGGTGCTCGTACTGGTGGGCGCTCAGGAGCGCCTCGTTCAATGGTTAGCACCCCCGAAAGAATCACCCGCCGAAAACCGGGCCGGTACAACCGTATCACCTTTGGAGGAAGCAAAGTCCCAGAACTTCCGTACGAGCAGGTGAATCGCAAGTAGCTTCGCATGCAAGAAAGTCAAACAAATGAGTACGGTCAAAAGTAAACCACCAGGGGACCGCAGTTTAGTCCTTGTTTTCATTTACTAGGGTTCCATTTGGGGTACCCATTTTTGACCCACCCAAACCAATAAGCAAGGAGTTCTGCCGTAGTCGCAAGCGCAAAGGCCACCACTGGCACTGCAGAATGCGGCATTGAACTTTCCCCCCATTGGCATCGGTGCGGGGTTTGATGAACGCATGCTCAGCAAAAACGGCTCAAGCGCTGGGGCTCTTTTAATGAAGAACTCATGGAAATTGTGTCAAAGGTGTTGAAGAATCTATCCTTCCAACTGATGTTTTCCACTTGGTTAAGACCCCTGAAAAAAAAAAAAAAAAAAACACATAGTTCCAGTACTGATAGATTCCCTTTAACACCAACAGGGGAAAATGAGAAAATCTTCTTAAGCCTGGCTTCGGGTTTGGGCCCCGAGCTCGATCGCCAACAAGCAACACTTTGAGACGTAGAGGTCGACTGGATGCCCAACCTCAAGAGTTGTCTCACTTGTCCAAAGGTGATGATTTCCCCCTTCCGGAACCTTTGGACATCTAGCTTCCAAGCAGCTGCGCTCCAATCACAGAGATGTGAGCCTCGCAAATTTGGAGATATTTCCGTTAGACAGGATCCTGAAGACTTTTCAATTACGTTACGGATGGCACCCGCAAATACAACGAGGGCACTGCGGGGCTTCCACATTCGTTACCTGGCCAAAATTGAGCCTCGCGCGCAAGGTTGCCTAGTCGCAGCAGCCGACCACGACACCCCAGCCCCCTTTTTTGCATTTGCAGAAGCCGCTGGCTTCTTCCCTTTCGCGGCTGTGCTGTAGAGCGAGCTGGTAGACAATGCCATGGTCAGAGCGGAGTGCGCGAGGGATCAATATGGCTAGGCCAAACTACTCAGTTGCATGTTTGTGTGCGCTTCTTGCGTCCAAGCAGCTTGCCAACCTGGTAAAATGGGCGTATCACCAGGAAGGCAACACCGCACTGACAACAACCCTATAGTTGTTAAACCCACCCAGAAAGCGCACTGACACCAGTTGCCGCTAGCGCCAAATGCCATTGTGTCCTGCGCCTAGCATGGTTGACGCCTCCAAGGCACTCGCAACAAAGGGAACTTCCGCCAACTGAACACTCTCTGAGAAGGACATTGCAGTCTACCATAGCGCTCACCTGGCTTCCAATCGCGGGCCGGCAAATGACAGGAGAAGAGACACGCCAACCCCAGCAGCGTCACATTGCTGGTGGCACAGTGTACAAGATTGCTTGCATTTAGCATGCCTGGACCCAGAATTATCCCTTTGCTGAATCATGCGAAGGCCGATCGTTTGTGGGCGCTGTGCGGTTATCAGTTCGGTCAGTTCAACTACGAAATCGCACAAGCCTAAAAGATCAGAAAATCACATGTGTCTTCGAGATTGTCATACTGCTGGTCCTTTCCTTTGATACGGAAGTGACTGCTTTGTCCAGTGTGAGTACCATGGCTTATGTTCAAATCAGGGTAGACCCCTCTGCGCCAGCAAAAGTGCAAAGGAAAGCAGAAGCCTCCTATCGATTCCAAGATGGGACAACAAACAACAAAATCAAGTTGGAAACTGGCCGCACGGTGACAAGTCCACAGGCACTCAGCTCGCACACACCCTACCTTTTCTAGATCCGAAGGATATGATACGTGATATACCGAAGGAAAACACACACCCGAATCACTCGATGCATAAAGCTCATACAGAAGCACTGGACTGCATATTGAAACATGCGCGGAAATAAGTGGCCTCAGTGTCAAGACAAGTTTGATTTGGTGCCAAGCCTATGCTCAAAAACCACAAGTTGATGCTGATCATTGTCAGTTGGCTCACGATTGTGAGTCAAATTTAGTGCTAAAAAAAGGGAAACCACGACACCCAAATGTTAGTGGACCTTGCCTGACAGGCCGATAGGTTCCGAATGGGTCTCCCCCCGAGAAAAAAGAAGAAGAACAAACATAAAACATAAAAATAATAATAATAAAAAGGTCTTGCTCCAAGACACACATGCAAGCATGCTCAACTCTTGACTTAGCGCGCGGACTCCTTTTGGAAGGCAGGATTCCAGCCTGTGTACTTCCTTGTTGGTGGGAGGGTAGCTCAAAGCTCCCCTTGCAAAGGCTCTTGCTCTGTCCAAATGGCCTGCGAAGCTCCTGTCACCGCCACGTGGCCCGAATTGCGCGCAGGAAATTGCGGCGCTTGTGTGGCCAAGCCCATCTCGTGTCTCAGCTTCAAATGAGAAAACACTAGGCCTGACCATCCCCCAGGCCCCGATCCGGCTAAGACCCGGCCAGTTGACCTGCCTTGGCAGTGGCACACCAAATGGCAGGCAGCGGACCCGTCAGTGGAAGCCGGCGAGACTCAAGCCACCTGTTGGCTCATTCCAGGTCACCAAATATGAAGGGCATGTTCCACCGCGCATATCCGAACACTGTGTACACCCCATCTTAGTGGATGATTTGATGGGACAATACTCCACATGTCTGCACTTACGCATCAGCCAGCATGGCTTCTCGTTTATCCCATCATTGCTGGCTGGACTGATTCTTGGTTAGCAGACCAGTCACAGTCAGTTTTCTTAAGAAGCTACTATGCACAAGAGAAGCAACGACTGCATTGGCATCCGCTTCTGGCGCGTGTTGTGTGATCAGGCTGCCAGGCTTGATTCTCGAGGCGCACTGGGGAGGAAGGTTCAGGCGTTACACGCAACGCCTGCCGGCTAGCCACGCCGCAATTGGCATCGCTTGGCATCCGTATATTACTGCTGGTGCACCCCTTGGCCCGAGACTGCTGAACAACAATTAGCTTGCTCTTCCCACGCAATCAAGCGATGACAAACAAACATGGGCTCTCAGCAATGCCATGATGCAATTCCGCGCTGAGCTCTACACAAATCAGCAAACCCTTGTTGACTTGCTGGAAAAACGAAATAACAAAAACATCCAACAGCTACCAAGAAATGCCAACCTCGGGAGAGAAACCATGCCGCTCTCCAACCTCTGACCAACACATTGAAATGGCAGAACTCTGACTCTGGCAGTGTTATGGTATGCTACTTGTTGAACGACACCTGCACCGAACAGCTCTTATACCCAAGCCTACATTTCCAATCCTGAAAGCTGGCAGGAGGGTGAAGACTCCTCGTGAAAAAGCCTCCTGCCCACTTGCATGATTGTTGAAAGACGGTGGCCGTCCAGAAATCCGAGGCAAACCTCGGGCCGAATGGCCCAGAGATGCCAGCGCCGATGCTTGGAAATTCTGACGCGCGAGCAAGCGAAACATCTGGGCTAAGATGTTTAAAGCGAGCCCCCTCAAAAGTCGTTGATGGAATCCAAAAAAAAGTTGGTTTGCCAAAAAAAAAAAACTCTCACCCATTTGAAGTTTGTTACTTTTGTTACATGCCCATGTCCAGGGCTGGACTCTCTCAGTACCGCAACCTTCACGAGGGTTGCCTCGTAAGCCTCATTCCCACAACCCCGCATTTATGTCTGATACAAATCAGAATAGATCTCGCACCTCTGCTTTCCGTGAGTCAGGTTTCGCTGTTGCTCGGGCCATCCGTGCAGGACCTTGGAACCAGCCACACGGCCGTCTGCTCTTTTCATGCAGGGATAGTTTACGATTCAGCAAGGTTGGAAGTCGTCCTGAAAAAAGAGGAATTACACATACATCATAGCGGGAATGGCCATCAGGTCGTCCACTTCCCTGCCCTTCTCCGCGCATAATTTGCGGAGCATGCCCAATCAGGACGCGTGGTCAGCCGAGTCACCATGACCGTTGCTCCCGTTTTTTCGTTGGATAGACTGCCCGTCTGCGTGACGAATCCGCCAGTCCATGCCGGTCGGCACAATTCAAGATACCATTTGAAGGTTGGCTCGCTCAAGAACCAGCTCGTCAGAGGTGCCCCCCAAACAATGCGACAGCTGCGCCTGCTCTCGAGGAGAGGATGCCTGATTGACTTTCGAGTGGGCCCAATTTGTCCACAAACGGTAAAGTATTGACACTTATGCACTGAATTCACTCCTTCGATCCCTCGTTCAAAGCAAAGGCCATGTAAACAGTTCTGAAAGCTTCAAGAACCCGTGGAGCGTTGCCATAAAAAGCATTAGAACATTGGCAACTATAGTAGCCATGATTCATGTCCGCGATGCAACGTCGGAACTGAAGCGGGGCTCAACAGAAACAGCCCTAAAAATACGTTCATGACTGCATGGGGATCATCCACAGCAGCTAGCTAGAAACAACTCGCACTTTCCAAACGCTATCTCGTGCTGGCTCTTGCTTGTTCCTTCGGTTTGGGTCAGGAATCACTTGGTGGCTCAGCCGGCAAACATGCGCGTGAACATGCCCTTGAGCTTGTCGCGCTTCCGGAGCCGAGGTTCATCGTCCCTGCATGGCGCATGTGAGGCTGTTGGGGGCTTGGGGAGGTTGTGAGAAGCGGGGGGGGGGGGGGCAAGTCTGCAACCCATAATGTGACATGTTAACGGCTGTCTGACATTCCTTGTTCCCGGAAACGCCGTCTTCGCGGATTAAGATTTTCGCGACCTCCGTCACACAAGAAGCACGAGCCCGGCTCGTGCAGTCGCAACTTTCCGTACGAAAGTAGTACACAAAGCAAACTTCCGCAGCTCGAAAGCTCGAACAGTAGTTTTTGAAAGAAGTACACGAAGTGTTCTTCCGCAGCCTCAGCTCGAAAGCCGTGCAGCAGCACAGGAGGGCACCGTTGGCCACCCATGTCCAGAAACTGGCGGGAGGTCCATCGACTTTCGCGCAACTTTTGCGGATCTTTCGCCACACATCCCCAAAAGTCCAGCTGTGAAG